AAAAAAAAAAAAAAAACCCAAATCCACTGTCATGAAGTCAATTCTGACTCATAATGACCCTATAAGATAGGGTAGAACTGCCCCCATCTGGTTTCCAAGATTGTAAATCTTTACAGAAGCAAAGTGGCATATCTTTCTCCTGGGGGTGAGCCAGCCATTCCCACCCCTAAATTTAATGAATAAATGTATGCATTTGTGCCATATGATCTAATTTACATAAAATTATGTGTGTAATTTGTATGTATATGGTATAAATATATACATAAAAATTTGGCACCAAAATATTAAAGATGATTATCTCGTAGTCATGGGGTTTCAAATAATTACTAAAACTCAAAATCTCACTGCTGTCGAGTCGGATCTGACTCATAGCAACCCCTCCCTGGGTTTCCGAGGCAGTATCACTACAGAAGTAGATTGCCCAACCTTCCTTCCAAAGAGAAAATAATTCTTCAGAAATAATTCAATAGAAGCCAAATTATGTTTGCTACATTATCTACAACAACAAAAATCTAGAAACAAAAGCTAGATAAATGGTTTGAAAATTTATACCATACTTCTACATTATACTAGTTTAGTTATTAAATAATCATTATAATGACTATTCTGATGGTAATTATGAAGATTGTACAGAAAATGAAGACTGGAAAAATGATACATCAAATGAAGAAAGCAGTATATATTATGATACTATACATAAAAGTATATACACAAGGTAATTTTAAAAATGAAAATAATTATGTAAGGAGTAGAATTATGAATATGTATTAGTACAAGTAATGTGTTTGAATTTGCTAGTGAAGCCATCTAAGCCTGGGTTTTTCTCTCTGGGAAGATTTTTAAATACTAATGAAACTTCTTTATGGATTATAGGTCTATTTAGACTCTCTATTTCTTCTTGAGTCAGTTTTGGTAATTTATCTTTCTAGAAATTTAACACTTTCATCTACATTGTCTGATTTGTTAGCATTAGATGTTGCTCTAACCCATTACTAAAAGTTGGGTATTGAAGTCTCTATTATTATTGAATCGTCTGGTTTTCCCTTTAATTCAGCAAAATTTTGCTTCTTGTATTTTGATGTTCTATTATTACGTACATATTCATTTATAGCTGTTATGTCTTTCTGTTGAATTAATCCTTTTATCATTATAAAATATCCCTCTGTCTCTAGTAACACTTTTTGTCTCAAAGTTATTTTCTCTGATATTAGTATAGCTACTACAGCTCCAACAGTTACTGTTTGATGGCTTACACTTTTAAAGAAAAGTGTAGTTTTTACTTTATTTGGAGGTTTCAATATAATGTGTGTCTCCTGTGTGCCTCCTGGGATCACCATTCAAATAAACTATTTCCAATAAAGTCTTTATCTTAGGCTTCACTTCCAAGGGAAACTCGAACAAAGATACATGGCTAACCCTACTGTATAGCAAAGTCAATATATGCTTAGTGTAAATTACCTTACCTTCCTTCTTGAGTCTCTGTCTTTTTCATTATTCCTTGCTAAATTCTCTGCATGCCTGGAAAGTAAAAATGATCAAAATCAAAATTTACTTTTAAAAGCAGATTTTTAAAAAAGAAAATATCTTATATCTCAGAGACAGTTCTTGTCAATATTTTTATATGATCAAGAATTGGTGTAGCTTGGCAAACTTTCAAAGCATGGTTAATCAGAACTAGGAATAACAGTCTTCTTAATGTTTTTACTACTTAAGAAGTAATTAAAATAGTACCTCTATCTTCAACTATAATGAAGGGAGGAGGCAAACTTGTCCATCAGTTTGTCATCCTGTGGTGGCTTACATGCTGCTGTGAGGCTGGAGGCTATGCCACTCGTGTTGCAAAATACCAGCAGGGTTACCCATGGTGGACAGGTTTCAGTGAAGCTTTTGGGTAAGACAGACTCAGAAGAAGGAAAAGGATATACGCTTCTCTAACAATTGGCCAGTGAAAACTTTATGAATAGCAGTGAAACACAGCCTGATCTATTACTGGAAAACTTTATGAATAGCCCTGAAACATTGTCTGATATAGTGCCAGAAGATGAGCCCATCAGGTCAGAAGGCACTCAAAATATGACTGGGGAAGAGCTGACTCTTCAGAGTAGAGATGACCTTAATGATATGGATGGAGTAAAGCTTTCAGGACCTCCATTGCTTGATGTGGCATGACTCAAAATGAGTAGAAACAGATGCAAACATCCATTAATAATCGGAACATGGAATGTACAATGTGTGAATCTAGGAAAAATGGAAGGGGTCAAAAATTAAAAGGAATGCATAAAGATTGATATCCTGGGCATTAGTGACCTGAAATGAACTGGTTTTGGCCATTTTGAATCAGACAACCAAAAGATCTACTATGCTGGGAATGACAAATTGAAGAGGAATGGTGTGGCATTCATCATCACAAGGATTGTTTGAAGCTCTGTCCTGAAGTACAACACTGTCAGTGATAGCATAATATCCATACACCTCCAAGGAAGACCAGTTAATGCCACTGTTATTCAAATCTATGGACCAACCACCAAAGCCAAAGATGAGGAAATTGAAGATTTCTACCTTCAATTTTCTGCAGAAAAATTTTCTGCAGAAAATCTTTTCAAGATTTCTGCAGTCTGAAATTGACCGATGATGCAATCAAGATGTGTTGATTATCACTGGTGACTGGAATGCAAAAACTGGAAACAAAGAAGAGTTACTGGTAGTTGGAAAATATGGCCTTGGTGATAGAAATAATGCTGGAGAAAGCATGATAGAATTTTTCAAGACCAAGGACTTATTCACTGCAAATACTTTTTTCAACAACATAAACAATGGCTATACATGTGGACTTCACCAGATGGAATATACAGGAATCAGACTGACTACATCTGTGGCAAGAGATGATGGAGAAGTTCATTATTTTCAGCCAAAACAAGGCCAGGAGCTAACTGTGGAACAGATCATCAACTCCTCATATGAACGTTCAAGTTGAAATTGAAGACAATTAAAACAAGTCCACGAGAGCCAAAATATGACCTTAATAATATGACTCTTGAATTTACTGATCAAATAAAGAATACATTCGATGCACTGAACACTAATGACTGAAAACCAGATGGATTGTGGGATGACATCAACAATATCATCCATGAAGAAAGCAAGAGGTCATTAAGAAGACCAAGAAAGGAAGAAAAGACCAAAATGGATGCCAGAAAAAACTCTGAAACTTGCTCTTGAATGGTGAGTAGCTAAAGCAAATGGAAGAAATGACAAGATAAAAAAGCTGAACAGAAGACTTCGAAGAGCAGCTTGAACAGACAAAGCCAATTATTATAATGAAATGTGCAAAGACCCAGAGTTAGAAAACCAAAAGGGAAGAACGCACTCGGCATTTTTCAAGCTGAAAGAACTAAGAAAAAAATTTAAGCCTTGAGTTACAATATTGAAAGATTCTGTGGGCAAAATATTCAATGATGCAGGAAACATCAAAAGAAGATGAAAGGAATCATCTTTCATACACAGACTCACTGTACCAAAAAGAACTGGTCGATATTCATCTATTTCTGGAGGTGGCATATGATCAAGAACCAATGGTACTGAAGAAAGAAGTTGAAGCTGTGCTGAAGGAATTGGCAAAGAACAAGGCTCCAGGAATTGATGGACTACCCTTTGAGATATCTCACCAAATGGATGCCCCACTGAAGGCATTCACTCAACTATGCCAAAAGATTTGGAAGATAGTTACCTAGCCAACTGACTGGAAGAGATCCATATTTGTACCCATTTCAAAGAAAGGTGATCCCACAGAATGTGGAAATTATTGAACAATATCATTAATATGCAAGTAAAATCTCGAAGATAATTCAGAAACAGTTGCAGCAGTACATTGACAGAGAGCTTCCAGAAATGCAAGCTGGATTCAGAAGAGGACATGGAACAAGGGATATCACTGCTGATGTCAGATAGATCTTGGCTCAAAGCAAAGAATACCAGAAAGATATTTACTTATGTTTTATTGATTGTGCAAAAGCATTTGACTGTATGGATCATAACAAATTATGGATAACATTGGGAAGAATGGGAATTCCAGAACACTTGATTGTACTCATGAGGACTTTGTACATAGATCAGGAGGCTGTCATTTGAACAGAACAAGGGGATACTGCATGGTTCAAAATAAAGAAGGGAGTGTGTCAAAGTTGTATCCTTTCACCATAATTATTCAACTTGTATGCTGAGCAAATAATCCAAGAAGGTGAATTATATGAAGAAGAATATGGCATCAGGATTGGAGGAAAACTCATTAATAATCTGTGATACGCAGATGACATAACTTTGCTTGCTGAAAGTGAGGATGACTTGAAGCACTTACTGATGAAGATTAAAGACTACAATCTGCAGTACAAATTACACATCAATATATATAAAAAAAAAAAAAATCCTCACAACTGGTCCAATAAACTGCTTCACAATGGATGGAGAAAAGACTGAGTTGTCAAGGACTTCATATTACTTGATTCTACAATCAACACCAATGGAATCAGCAGTCAAGACATCAATAGACATATTGCATTGGGCAAATATGCTTCAAAAGACCTTTTTCAAGTGATGAAGAGCAAAGATGTCTCCTTGAAGACTAAAGTGAGCCTAACCCAAGCTATGGTGTTTTCAATTGCCTCTTATGTATGTGAGCTAGACAATGAATAAGAAAGTCCAAAGAAGAGTTGATGCTTTTGAGTGGTGTTGGAGAAGAATGCTAAAAGTACCATGGACTGCTAAAAGGACTAACAAATCTGTCCTGGAAGAAGTACAGCCGGACTGCTCCTTGGAAGCAAGAATGACCAGGTTCGTCTCACCTACTCTGGTCATGTTGTCAGAAGGAACCATTCCATAGAGAAGGATATCATGCTTGGTAAAGTGGAGGGTCAACGAAAAAGGGGAAGGCCCTCAACGAGATGGAGTGACACAGTGGGTACAATGATGGGCTCTGGTATAGCCAGGATCATGAGGCTGGCACCGGACCAAGCAGTGTTTCGTTCTGCTGTGCATAGGGTCTCTATGAGTTGGAGACAGCTCAACTGTACCTAACAACAACAAAGTATCTTCAGAAGAAAAGAGGGAAAAAAATCTATGTATTTTATAATACTTTTGTATATGTTTGAATCTATATTCTTATAAGAGTTCTAAAATGCCGCACAGTTTTATTAGTTGATTCCAAGTACTGTATTTTATTTCCAAACTAAAAATGTATCTCAAAATATATGTTCTATTTTTCTTCCCAGATTTTGTAGGTTGGTTGGAATCAAAAATACAGGCTTTCAAAATTACAAATTTATGTCAATATTTAGAATTTACTTTCATACCAATTCAGTATAACAAATAATTTAAAGGACATGCAGAATTGTGCAAAAGCTTTGTTACGCATTCTAGCAGGTTTCCAATATAAAAACAGGAATTTGAACTCATTGGCAAGGTATTTAACCTAAGTTTTCCTAATCTATGGAGAAAATTACTGTATGTACAGAACAAATTAAAATCTATAAAAAGGACATATATACAAAACAGAGCTTATACACAACTCTTATTTTAATCTGTAATCATCCATAAACCCACATAAAGCAGCTATTATTGTCCTATTTTTACTGATGAAGAAATAGGCTCTTAGAAGCTACTCAATAACACAACAAAAAGTTAGAGATGAAATTCTAACCCAGTCTGGCACCAACACTCTTGCTCTCACTATGACTCTACAGAGACCTGGTTGCTGAAAGTAAACATTCTTTCATTTCAATTTACAAAGACAAATAAATATATTTACAAATATTGAACAACTGGGAATTTGGTGGCCTATCTAGGAAATATACCTTTAAAAAGCCAAAACTAGTTGCCATCAATTCAATTATGATTCATGGTAACCCCGTGTGCTGAGTCAGAGTAGATTTGTTCCACAGCGTCTTCAAGGCTGATTTGTCAAAGGTAGACAACCAGTACTTTCTTCCAAGGAACCTCTGCATAGACTCAAACCTCAAACCTTTTGGATACCAGTCAAGCATGTTAACTATTTGCACCATTCAGAGACTCCAACATATCTTTAGCTTATATGAAGCATATAAATTTGCTCACGCCAGTAAAAAAAAAAAAAAGAGATAAATTGTTCACTTGCAGATGCTTTAACTTCTTAAACTTTTTATGTATTACAGATGAACCACTGCTTGCCCTTTATGAGACTCCAAAACAAATTATTCTTCCCAAAGTCTGTCTTGATTTTCTAATTTTATATGAAAAATATAAAATAGGCAAAAAAGGACTAATAACTTATCACAAGTTTCCAGCTACATTTCTTCCAGGACAGATTTGTTCCTTCTTCTGGCAGTCCACGGTACTTTCAGTACACCACCACTCAAAAGCATCAACTCTTCTTCAGTCTTCTTTACTCACTATCAAACTTTCACATGCATATGAGGCAACTGAAAATATCATGACTTGGGTTAGGCACACTTTAGTCTTCAAAGTGACATCTCTGCTCTTCAACACTT